TTGAATTTCCTTTATCAATTCTCAGAAAATATGTCTTCTCATTGATTAATTAATTAGTTGTTTAATTCTGATCATGTGTGGCATTTATTTGATTTCCAGGAAATGTGACTGCACTCTTCCTCTTCTTGTCACAAGTGTACGTAATATATTAGATTAAATGTTAATTTCCGTATTAATTAGTGCTCTCTCTTCAATATTCTTAATTAAACTACTCTGGCTCGTGATGAGAGATTTTCCATATCAACATTTGTTGACGTTGTTAATGAGAAATTAATTAGGCTAGCTAGCTAGATAATTAATTAATTAATTAATATAATTTGCTGCAGGCAAAATTTTTTTCGACTTTACAAGGAAGATAAAGTGAAACAATTCTCGCCAACCCCATACTTGGTGATGCTAATGAACCAGATGGTCCGGATCCTGATTGCGCTGCCCTGGGTGCACCCAAACAGCACCCTCCTCTTAATCGGCAACGTCACCGTCGGCATCATTGCACTCTTCTTCGTTATCCTCTTTCTCATCTACTCCGATGGGAATAAGAGGTTGCAGGTGGGGCTGGTGGTGCTCCTCGAGCTCATATTGGTCGTCGTGCTCACCCTTGTTGTCCTCACTCTTTTACACTCCACACGGCGCCGTTCTCTGGCTGTTGGAATCATCGGCAATGTCACAAGCATCATGGTGTATGCCTCGGCCATTTCAGTCATGGTCAGTACGCCACATATATGATTCATAATATATATTAATATTAATCAGTGTTATGAATTCCGTATCATACCGGTAAATATGACCAATACCGAAACGATAAATAATGCAATTTCGTTTCGGTCAAAATCCAGACATTTTGGTCAAAATTTGGTGTACCGGCCGGAACATCAAAATTCCGGCCGGTGTACACTGTCCAAATTAAAAAAAAAAAAAAAAATCCTTCCCTTTTCAAACCCCTTGCTTTGATCTGCTTCGTCTTCTCCCCTTTTCTGGTGGCTGCCGAACCCAGCCGATACATCAAAATTCCGGCCGATGTACACTGTCCAAATTAAAAAAAAAAAAAAAAAAGATCCTTTCCTTTTCCGGTGGCTGCTAAACCCCTTGCTTTGGTCTGCTTCGTCTTCTCCCCTTTTCTGGTGGCTGTCGAACCCTTCTGCTTTGGTGATTACCGGTGATGAAGGTGGAGGCTGTGATGATGATGAGATGCAAGAAGATTGTCAAGATCGGAGTCCCCAAGGGGGCTTGGGGCTAGATCTGCTTCGTCTTCTCTGGTTTCTTTTTTTTTTTTTTTTTTTTATGGCTGCTTGGTGATTGGTGAGGGTGAGGGTGATGGCGATGAGAGTGATGATCAGTAAGGGGATGGTGAAGATCCGAGGTGAAAGAACGGAGGTGATGGTGGCGATGGTGGATCTGCAGAAGGGAGAAAAATCAAGTTTTTTTTTCTGTTTTCTCCTCTCTTGTTTTTTTTATTTTGTTTGGCAGCCGCATCTCCTCCTTCTCCCTTTAAAAGGAGGAAACTAGGGTTTTCTTAAATTTGGGTTTTGATGGGCTGCTCAATATTGGGCTGGGCTTATAAGTTTATTTTAGTAAATTTCATCCTCAGCTTTTTAATTTTTTCAATTGAGTCCTTTTCTTGTTTTTTTTTCTTCAACTTCTCCCCAAAATTTCTCATAAAATTTTTTTATAACGATAAATCCGAAATGGTACGTGAAAAATTCTGGTATTCGGTACGTACCGTTTCAATAACAAAACTGATACACATGCCGATATGATATTGACTACTTTGATATTAATCCCTAGCTTTTAATGAGTACATATATATTTGTTAATTTGTTTTGTTGATGATGATGATGATCAGAAACGGGTGATAAGGACTAAAAGTGTGGAAGACATGCCCTTATCCTGCTCTTTGGTTTCCTTTGCCGGTGCTTGTGCCTGGACTTGTTATGGTTTACTCCCTTTTGATCCTTTCATCTGTGTAAG